AACTCTTCTACTTCCATGATTCCTAAGGAAAAAGCATCAAATTATCTAATCTTGGGGAAATCAGAAAGTGTAAGTGAGCACCATTGAAAATCATCTAAACGAAAATCACGTCATGCCTCTGGACAATGCCTCTGGACAATGTACCATGGCAATGCAATGAATGGCATGAGTCTGTTGCTGACCTGCCGGATCCTGCGACTGCTAAACCTCTTAATCTTACCATCGCTGTATTCCCGTCGAAGCTTCCTCTCTTGCTTCTCTAAATAACTTGCGATTACAGACCTACTCTCTAAACGAGTCTTACTCCGTCTAATCTTCTCTGCTCTGTTTTCCCCCACCTGCTGGCTCCGCCAATGCAGCGCTTTCTCGCCTCAATACGTCATCAACTTTAGTCACTTTAGTCATTTGACTGTACATGGAACACCAAGACTGCACGGAAAGGGGCGAGGCAGGAAGTCAGAGCCACCTGCTTCGAGGAGAGGCGAGGGGGACGGGAAGGGTTCATTTACCAAGTGTTGGGGCAGCTAGCAAGGGTCATTTCCCAGTTCATGCCATACGCCGTGACCTGCACGGCTTTTACGATATTATACTAAGCTGTTTCTCTAAGATGCAGAGGATGCATTCGTGTCTTTTCATGTACCCAACAGCCGGCCAACTCGTACCAAATTACGCCGATGGACCAAATGTCAACCGCCGGAGTGTGCACCTATGCCCCCACATAACTTGTGGCTACGCGTGGACGGAAATGCAAACTGCGCTGGGATTCCTTGGGCCGCGGCCTCTAGACGAATAATCTCCGGGGCTATGTTCACAGGAGTGCCCTCATCACCGCACGCTCCAATTACAAAGTTGCACGCCGATCTCCTGAGAACCGCGCGATGCGGCCAGTTCGTGCAGGCGGGCCAATCCAGCCCTCGCTGTGGCGAAAACAAGTGCGGAGCTTCTCTTTGGGCGGGGGCGGAGCTTGGTGAGAGATGTCAAAAAGTACACAGGAGCCCGAGTCGAAAAACAACTAGAGAACGGTTGTCCCGAAAGCATTTTCAAGCCACGATTAAGACCTCGCATCACGCCATCACGCCATCCATACATCCATCCATCCATCCATCCATCCATCCATCCATCCATCCATCCATCCACGCATCAACGATAACGAAGAACCTTCACAAAGACCACGCGCCATCCATCACGACATCCATCCATGCATCAACGATAACGACCGCAAACACGCAGAGGGTTGTCGTTCGCGAACAAAAATGCGAACGCCTCCCACATCCGGAGTCCACAGGCAGAGGCAATGAAGCCAAAGTTTGCGACGAAAGCCTTTCCTGATTCTCTCCCTCACTTGTTCTCAAATTGTGTAACATACATCTGCTCAGCCTTCAGCCTGTCTCAACTTTCCCCCGCGGATCCCACTTTCCCAAGCTTTCCGTGCGTGGCTTCCTTTTCCAGTTCTGCCAAAAAATCCTCATATGTCCTCATGCATTGTCAAGCTTTTCGGTGTCGTGGAAAGGTGATGCACCTTCTTCGATGCACTACGAGCGGATGCACATGTGTCAGTCTGCGTGCGCGTGACTCTGACTGTGTGCGTGTGTCTGTGCGAGTGTGTGCCCCTCGCTCTTCTTCGCAATGTGCATGGTGCTGTTTCGGCCTCAGAGAAATCGATGAGCTTCGGGTAGCCTGTAGAGTCGATGAGAATGTTCTCCATCTTCAAGTCGCCATGGATGTCTGCAATGCAGCACCGAATCCGGGTGCGAAGCTAAATCTGCATGTCCGAAACAGCCAGAAACGGGAACTACGAGCAACTGAGGCATCAGCTCTTGCTGGCCAAGTGTTCCAGGGCCAGAACGACACAGCTTCCGTAAAACGAAGCCTGTGCAGACCAACACTTTCAGCTGCGTTTGCTGGTTCACGTCGAGCTGGCTTGCAAGTAGCCCAGCACGCAATGTGCCATTGGCTTGCAGCTCGAGCCAGGGGCAGGTTGGGCTGCACTGAAGACGGAAGTCTTCCCATCCATTTGGGATGGGTGCATACTGCACTGGAAACCTGTCGACAGATTCACCATCCAGGCCCCAGTACTTGAACAAGAGTATTTGCTTGCCGTAGGAGATCGAGGTGACAGGCACCTCCAGGCTGATGGTGTTCAAAAGCCCACGCATGGGATCTTGCGTCAGCCCAACAGAGCATTTGATCTGCGTCGGCTGGCGTCCACTGGACCAAGCGACATGTCCGGAAATCTTGCCAGACTCACTGAGATGGAGGCCCATCTCTGCTAGGTTGCACTCTGGTCCGACGGTTGTGCCGTATGCCTGAGGTTGTGGGAAGCTTTCGATGCTTTGGCCCTCGTACAGCGCCTCTTCCGCCAAAGGCATGAGGCTGGGAGTAGAGCGCACGCTACCGCCACCGCAGGCACAGCAAGCCTCGCTCGGGCTCAGGCCCTGGAACGGTTGGTCAAAGCCCGCTTTTGTGAAGCCTGGGCAGAAACCACGGTCCTGGTAGTCCTGACATGTTAAGCCGCTGGCATCATGCCATGGAATGTTGTCGCATTGGAAGCACATGGAGACGTTGAGAACCGGAATCAACTGCTTCACATACCCTGCGGCACACCCCACACAGCTTCCGTTCTCAATCTTGCGACATCCGGAACATTGGTCCCCAGCTTTGCAGCACGAGAACTGGTAGCCCAGCCCCTGGTCAACAAAGTCGCCGATCGGCATCTCGGACGGAGGGCACTGTACCTGCTATCAATTGTGCAACACAGGCAAACAGTAGGAAGAGCTTGGAGCGCAACTCGCCAAGTTTACTGACCCCTCCCCGTCCCAAAATTCCTTCTGGCGCTTTCGGCTTCGGCCCCGCACCTTCTCGGGCAGAATGGCCCAGCCATTGACAATGTTGGTCAAGTCGGCCCTCTTGCCTTGAAGCAGCCGGGCTCTTGGCTTCTCGCACCTAGCAAGGCAAGAGCATTCGCTTCGAGGTTCATTATTACCTTCCATCCCAGCATGCAACCTAGATGCTGCCGGAAGTGCACGCCAGGAGTGGACCACGCTGCCTCCAAGAGCTCATAGGGTCCCGTGGGCTGCGTTGGCTTCGTCGATTCCTCGTCGACGCTCAAGCCACTTGGCGCTGCGCGCTTCTGCAGCGCACAGCTGAAGTCGGCGAGTGCCACCAACGGCGAAAGGAGGACGAACGCGGCCATCAGGCGCAACATGGCTTGCGGAAAGGTCCTATGGAGCTCAAGACTAACTCTTGACACGACGCCGATCCAAAACCCATAGACTGCTACAGACCTCGGGAAAATGCACAAAATTTGTCACAAGATGCGCGCAGTTTGCTGGGGAAGTGCTCTAGGCTTGTTGAGGTCTGTTGCAAATGATGCACTACTTTGCCCTATAGATTTATGCGCCTAGGAGAGCAAAGCAGGTTCCTTCAGGGTTCTTCTCAGGGTTTTCTTCAGTGTTCTGTGCAGGGTCCTTTTGAGGGTTCTTGTAAGGATTCTTCTCAGGGTGAGCTGCAAAGCCCGAAGTCGCCGAATCTTGGGCGAGGTATTCAGTGTTACCACTCTTCTATTCCTAAGGCTTGCTTCTCAGCATACACCTGCTAGTTCGCATGCCGATCTACGCGAAGGTGAAAGACATGCCAAACACTGGTACTGCTCATGTGATCATCGTTGATTTCTCCCCCTCAGTCGCGCATCTCCTTACGTCAGCCAGGCGCACGCACGATGGCAAGGCCACGAAGCTCCGTGACCATCGATTTCGCCTGGGATGAGCCACACATGGTTCCCCTGCTGTAGGAAAGAAGATGCCGACGCAAGGTGTGCGGAACTTCTCTCTCTCTCTCTCTCTCTCTCGTTCTCGCGCTCTTTGAGGCTCACCTAGGCCAAGTCGCTAGTCGAGTCGTGTCAGGAAGTTGGTGACAGCTGTCTGCAAGTCGTCCAGGCGAATCCACAGCCTGCCGTGTGGGTCGGCCTCGTAGAGAACCACCTGAGATGGCAAAAAGTCCCAAGACCTCAACCGCTTCAACCAAGGCAAGGCAGGACGTTACGTTCAGAGAGTAAGCCATGCTCTCCTCTTCCTCTGCTCCGCGAATTTGGCTTCCAAGAAGCTCGGTAGAAGGGGAAGGCGGCCCCAAGTCCACCGTAGAAGTTGCCTCGGCCAGGCCAGCCCCGCCGAGGTGATGTTAGGCCTAAAGAGAGGCCCAAACAAACCTGTCTGAAAGTGTGTGCCGTCAAGGATCTTTTGTATGGTGGCCAAAGTCCTCTCGTGCAGGCTCCAAGCTGGATGCAGCATGATGCAGCTGGATTCAGTGATGATTCGGGCTTGGGGACATTTGGATGGCTCCTTCCAAGCCTTCCTGGGCTGCGGCATCGCCAACCAGCTCGATGATGCCTGCCAGTCGGGTGGTTGCGCTCTGCGAGTCTGTCCCTTGCAGCGCATCTCGGCCGCCTGCATCAGACTGTGCCAGGACCATGTTGGCCATGGCCCCACCATGTGCGCCCACGATGAGCCGCGCCTGTCGAACCTGCTTGGGCCCACGGCGGGTTCGCCACAAAGGGTTGAACATCTAGCCTGATGGGTTTGGCACGGTTGCACGGTGTGGGAAGTCTTTCGGACTGGAGTTTGGAATGTCCTCTGCAGCGACAGGAAGCTCTTGCTTCCGGCGGGCACCCCATGCAGGGTCCGCTGCTTCAAAGCTTTGACATGAAGCTTGCATGCGAAGGCTGCAATTTCACTTGAGGGCTGATCTATCTTCGAGTCGAGTCTAGCTCCATGGAGCCATTCGCAATGAAGTTAACGCCCCCCCCCCCCCCCCCTAAAGGTCCGCAATGGCCAAAGGGACTTGGGAGTTTCGGTGTTCAGGAAGAGTTGTTTGCCTGCTTTTGTTCCCGCGGGCCCTCCAGGAATCGAGTTGAGCCAGAGGGGATGGCGTGTGGATCCGCTTGTTCACCGGTGCGGGCGTGCATGTGTGGACTGGCCAACTAGACCATTAAACTCTCCTTTCTCCGCTCTTGCAGAAAAGGGGGGGAGTGAGCCCGTGGAGGTGCCGACGTGCCGGAGCCTTGATGACTCCAGGGTGGAGATGGTGCACTGACGCACTGCTCAGTCGCTCAGACATGTTGCGCTATAGGCTGGTCTGAGATGTGTTGGGGGGGGGGGGGTGACCTTCCCAGAACAAGCTAGGGTACGGAGTCTTGTTGTGGATGGTTAGAACAAGCGGGCTAAAAGCCTCCTGCATGGGTCTATGGGCTGCAGGACCCCCTTTCGAGGCTGCATGTCGGGCCTTCCGGACCTGCTCCAAGAAGTCCACACGGCCTGCCAGGATGTCGGGGCCGTGTACCCTATCGCATCTCGTTTGATCGGTCCTTGTGCCGATATCTTGCTCGGTCTGACAGGGGCTCTTACGCATGCTTGCCTTTTTTTTGCGAGGTCTTGCCTGCGCACATCGACACCAGTTCCTCTGTCCGATTGGACTTGATCAGGGCCTAAGTGCCACTGCATGCGACTGCTGTCACTGCTGTCACTGCCTGCAAGATTCCTCGTGATCCGGGAGATACGGGGGGCTCTTTGGGCCTCTCAAAACAGCTCGGCACGGCCAGGGCGCACTGCTGATGGCAGCCAGTGCCGCCTGTTCGTTCTCGAGGGTGCGACGGTCGGTGCAGCGCTGCAGGAAGAGTACCAGGCGCGGTGCAAAGGGCTCCGCCTAGATGCCACGGCTGGACAATTGATCCGTTCTGTCCACAGCTGTTCGGCAATGCCTCTTCAACTTCGTAAACACACTGGAACAGCGACGGAAGCCCCAAAAGAAAAGAGCCGAAAGTTGAGAAAACGCTGGGTCCCACCCGGCCCGTCGACATCGAGCTTTCAAGCGGTTTGTGGCCTCTAGCAGTCTAGCGGCTAGCACTCAGGGCGTGCTGCAGGTCTGGGTGACAACCCTCTGAAGCCCAACATCTTTCCATTATTTTCCAATGTATACCCAGGCTGTGTAGTTTGTGTCATTTTCAGGGCTCGAGCTACTATGCATAGCACGTGAAACCATTGAGACCAGCTGCCACGAAGCCGTTGTACTGTGCGATAGCATGTGAGATTTCCGGGCCCACCTGGGAAGGCGCTTCACATGTGCAGCTTCTGCTTGCCACGGAACTCATGTTGGGATTCAGCTAGTAGCTATTAAGGCATTCAGGGTGTTGATTGGGTCCGCCTGGAAATCGATGAGCCGGTGCCAAAGGTCACCGTCGACCCGACCTTGCAATTCTGCTTGCAGTGGGATCTTGTGGTTTGAAGGGCAGGGTTAGTGCATTTGGCATGCAGCGTAGGGTGTCAGGTCTGGAGGGTTTTGGGTCTTCACCGAACAATTTCAAGCTGCTGTTAATTCCAAAGGCTCTGAACCCCGAAGCATTCCGAAGCTGAACCCCAAAACGTGAGCCTGTGCTGGAGAGCCACGGTCCTGGTACGGATGGCTCGGCAGCGGTTCAGAGTCGCCAGAGCCGGTCACACGCCACAGATGCAGGGTTCGGCCGCTTTTTGCGCACAGCAGAATCGCAGGCCGCTCATCCGGGAGGGGAACTTCCAGGATCTGCTCCTGATAAGAAAGCGCTAGCCGCTAGCAGCGAAGAGTGCACTCGACTCCTCAGGCTCCCGGCGAGCTCCCTCCCTCCGGGCCCCCTCCCGTTTCTGCCAGGGCACTGGCGGAAAGCCCAGGCTGGCCAACAGCTGGCTCTGAAGCGGAAGGTGGACCACCAGCTTCCTCGTGTTGGGTCTCACCGGGTCCCAACTTTTCGAAGTTAAGCATTTACGGGTCTCAAGAAGTGGGAGTTACCAGTGCTTCCTTCCGACGTCCCTCCAGATTCACGGGTCTAGGGCCTAGGGTATCGGCCCGGATATAGGGTCTTGGAATATTTCGCGTTGCCGCGGAGGGCTTCTGGGTTGTCAAGATTTTGAAAGATTTGAGTGACTTGGGATTTAGGTTTTGGCTTTCTCGCTTAGGGTTCCAGGCATGGGGAGGACAATTCGGAATATGGGGATCACGGTTCAGGATATAGGTTAGGCTCACGGGGCTCAAGAGTGCCGCCTGCACGTGGGAGGTGATACATGTCGGCAATGCGCACAAGCCGTTCCCCTTTGTGATTGTATCGGTCGCTTGCGAATCAGTTCAGCTCGGGGGCACAACCTGACCAAATTGGGCCCCGGTCGCAATTCGATAAGCGTTTCATAGCTCCCAAGCTCAAAGGCTCTAAGGAATTTTCAACCATTTTGCTCTCCTGATCTCGATGCCTGAGAGAACAAAGACCATAATATTCGGTGAGTCATCCCAAGGAAGCTTTCAGTCAGACTTAGGCTCGTGGAGGAATTGCGCAACAGCTCAAGCACCGTCCAAGCTTGCGGCAGGAAGTCGATGAGTGAGTGCTGGTACCCCATCCTCGGTCTTGGAAATCGCTTCGAGGAGGCATAAGTCCTTTATTGCACTAGCTCAGGTAAGGGAGATTCTCTGAAGGTCTCCGAGCTGCCACCGAGATCCTACGCAATGCCCGGACTGTAGCTTAAATCCGAAACTGTAAGGCTCAAAGCCCTGAGCTGCAGCAGCGCAGCTCGGGGGGCTCGCGGATGTTCGGGAGCACCAGCCTTCAGCCATGGGCACATATTTCTTTCGGCCCTGGATTTTGGGCGTCCGGGCTCCAGATGGCTCCACCGTGCAGGTTCAGCGACTGTGTGAACTCATTGTTTCTGAGGTTGCGCAACGAAGGGTGTAACGGTCTAGCGGTCAAAGCTCAAAGTCAATCACAAGCTCTTGATGTAGCTGTAGTATTTGTACCAGTATATTCTGAAATCAATTCATGGAAGTAGCCCTCGAAGTCATGTAAAGTACTATAACATCATGTGTAATCGAGGGCGATAGACTGTAGAATTGCATGGATGCAGTACGGTATCCAGTACACAGTGTAAATCGTAATTCGCCTTCGCCTCGGCCACGGTGACCTCCCCCCTGCCTGTTACGTGCACTTTCATGTCCTGTACTGGCTATAGTCGGACACAAGTTCCGCATTCTGTCCAACCCTGCCCACCCTTCCTTCTATGTTCCTTGTTATGCCTCTGCGGCCGCGCCCGAGAGGGCCGAGATGTACGATACGAAGCGTTTACACTATAGCTGTATAACATAGCATAAGCTACAAAGAGATACAATTCTGAGGTCGAAGATACCTCAAGACCATAAAGCCAGGGAGCATGTCCTGGTCCACGACTTGTGTGGGCAGCTGGTGCCAGAAATCCTCCTGCTGGCAGCTCTCCGGACAGTCCCTGACCAGGCTGAGCAGGCTGCCCAGGTCGAGTAGACAGAGTCAAGACCTCCAAACTAACCTGATGCCTATCTTTTACTGAACCCCAAGGTTCAAGCCTGTCAGAACAACCGTTCAACCACGCTTGGTGCCTGTGCAGGAACTGCCCATGGCTAGCGTTCGAGGCGAACGTCACCTTGATCGTGCTCCAACGCCTTTGCCTCAGCCCCAACCGACAATCAACAGCCAAGAGTAAGAGACCATTCAGCTAGGAGCCTTCAACGCCGTGCCCCGAACAAAGCGCAAGCTGCTGAGTGGCAATGTGTTAATGCATCCACCCTCCAGAGGTGCCACTTCTGCATTCAGGCTTCTGGCTGGGTCCGTCACGAAGTAGTCTCCGCCATCTCCGCAGGCATATCTGGCATATGCATCCAGCAAAGACTGGTTGCCTAAGATGATTCGAAAACATCTCTTCATCCCTCCTCATGGTTTGTCTCTCCCACACAAGCCGCGCCAGTCTCTCTCTGACGTGCAGTAAGGGTGCGTGACACCAAAGTTGGAAATCTCTTTCCAATGTAGCTGCAGCCAGGGTTTGGTTTTTTCTCTTGAAGCTCTCGCTCCATCGGAATCGCAGGAAAACTTCGAAGGACACGCCACCTCAGCTCCTTGAGCTCCTTCGTGCCTTGTGAGGCCTTCATCATCGCTTCCCTGAAGCTCTCGAAGTGCGCCTGGTCGGAGGCGGAAGCGACGACTTCTTGCTATGCACAGCATTGCAGTGCTATGGAATGCTGGACGGGGTGCACCCACCACGACCAGCAACCAGAACCAGGACCATGACACGGAGTCTGCTTCACCAGGGCAAGACGAAGCATGAGAACAGAAAAAACTGACTGGGAGGAAAAACGTAATTCCGTAGTATCTTGCCAACAACCCTAGTCTGTTCCATGTAGACTAGGAGAAAACACACGACTCCCTAATTAGTTTCTCGCAAAAAAACAAGACAAGTCTGTTGCAGTTAGATTAGTCTTGTTGCCTCGATTTGCCGCATGTTTCGCAAAAGCCTAGTCGCTCCATTGAAAAATAGGAGACAGCACACAATTTTCTAGCTTCTCGCAAAAAACACAATCTGTTTCAAGTTTCTCACCAAAAGCTTTGCCCGGGTCTTTGGCGCGAGTTGCCGAATTGCCAATTGTTCGCAAAACCTACTCCGTTTCATTTAGACGAAAACACAACACACACACACACACACACTTCCCCATCTTCTCGCAAAAGACCTAGCCTGTTCCATGTAGTGGAAAAACACAAAACCATCTGTTCCATTTAGACTAGGTTCTGGGCGCGAATTACACAATTTCCCAGCTTCTTGCCAAAATCCCAATCTGATCCATTTAGACTAGGTCTTTAGCGCGAGTTGCCTCATTTTTCGCCTGTTTCATTTAGACAGGAGAAAACACACGATGTTCTCTAGTTTCACGCCAAAAACCTAGTGTGTTCCACATAGGCTAGAAGAGAACACACATCTCCCAGCTTCGCACGAAAAACACAGTCTGTTCCCTTAGCTGCTACCTGATGTTGCCTGCTGCAGCTTGCCTGTTGTCTGACAGGAACTTCCTTGTCAGGGTTTCCTGTTACTCCGTCGCTGTGAGCCACGACTGTGTCATTGCGCAAAAAACATAGCACGGTAGAACCATCCTCCTCCTGGAATGCTGAAGTGCTGCTGAAGTGCATTTTGCTCTTCTGTGGCCGGCTCGGGGTTGCGGAAGAGAGATCGCGCGGACCTTATTTCATTCACTTGCCCGGCCTCCAGGGGACTCCAGCTCCCGTCTGTCGCGCATCGTGAAACTCGTGCCCGGACACGCACCACCACGTGCAGCACAGGGACTGGATCAATTCAACCTCCATGCAGCCCACACCTCGGGTCAACCGCAGAATCAGGCTGAATCAATGAGCAAGGCTGCTTCTGCGCGAGGCTTCGAAGCTTGTAAGCATGAGCTTCAGCTCAGGCTCTTTCAGTTTCATGGTCCCCGCAGTCTGCAGCTGTGACTGCCAGTGCCACAACGGCCAACAGCTCGAGCACAGGTCCCAAGGCCACGGACGACTTGTGCATGGCGGCCAGGCAACCAAACATGACCAAAGTATGTCGGGCCAGAGAGGAGAAATGCTGAGCACGCTGAACTCTAGCTACTTACACTGACTTTCTCAGGCAAGGCGGTTCGGCTTCGAGCTTCGGGCCCAGAGGCTGCAAAACAAAAAGCCCTAGGCACACCCTTACGCAGCTTTGAACCCTCCGCTTCAGAAGCACGCCCTGATTGGGCTTCACAGCCTCACCTGCAACAGCTCATCCGTCTAATGAATCTTCGTGAGCCTCTTATGCAGGATAAAACCAACCCAGCGACCTCATTCCTGAATGCCGGACGCCAGCTTCAACAAACATCCCAGCGCAACATCCCGGGGCAAAGGTGGTTCCGAAAGAGAAGTAACCGCGATTGGTCTGGGGCGGCAGTTCCAGGTGCAGGGAGGAGTCAAAAGGCTGAATGCTTCCAGGAGATGCAGGGGCATTGATTCCACAGTGGACAGACACTTTCGTAACTTTCATCTCAACGCTGTCTGCGCAAGCGAGCCCTTCAAACGCAGCGATCCGTGCGAGGCGGCCAGGGAGACGGCCACTCCTACAGGACTGCCACCCTGGATGCCGAGCCTCTCTTGCTGTAGCACTCCTGACACGTCTCTTGCGAGACGTTGAACAAAACGAGGTTTTGGCGGAAGACCTCAGCTGCGGCAGCATACACCACGTCGTCGATGTCATCGTACCAGCCCTGAAGCTCGGAGGTGTCGTAGTCTTGGTCGGCACTCTTCCCATGAAAGCTGGGCCTCGTGTTTACGAACTCGAAGGCACTGCATACTCCTCCGAACATCTTGTGAAAGAGGCAGATCGACAGGTCCCACTCCTCGGTGAGGCCCACGAAGGCAAAGCCGTCGCGCACCCTTCGTGCTGCCTCAGTGGCGTCCCGGCGCGTCACCTGGGGCCGGCGTGGATCCAGAGTTACGGTGGTCGGATGCTCGGTCACGAGCTGGTATGTCATACCGCCCTTCCACATTTCGGCAAACTCTGAAAGCGGCCTCTTCGGCATTGACTTTACGACTTCCGACTGCCCCCTGCACTCTACTCCTAGGTCACGCGTGAAGAGCTCTTTTGTGTAGCCGGCAAAGTTGTTATGATCATCATGGTAGCCGGAAAGGATACGCTGATTAGGATCGCGGAACATTCCAACCAAGTGGCCCCGCTGGGCCGAATAGTTGGTTACAGGGAGGTGTACGTGGCACGGCTGAGGGCAAGTGTACTTGTCCGCATTGCACACATATGGGCACTTGTGCTCAAGCCAGTAGGACAGCCAGCAGGTGCCGCTGCCAACCGTGTCTTCATTGAGAGCGTAGTTGGCAAGAGATGGGCAAGCTCCGTTCAGGTGGACGATTGCGTTGACGAACGAGCTGCCTGTCTTTGGGAAGTGAATCCAGTCAAGCGGCTGAGCTGCTTCCAGGCTCCGTCCCGCCACGTCTTCGAGGACTAACTTGTGTTGAAGCAGCTGCATTTGCATTGCGTCATCCTCTCCGTTTCGTCTCCATGCCAGGGAGATGATAGGAAGTAACAGTGACAAAAAACGAGCTAACATGGCTCGAAAGGCAACATGTGGGAAGGTCCCTGGACGGTTCGGCTTCGAACTGGCGTGCTGCGGTTGCCAATATATGCAGAGGCTGTCCACTACCATTATGTCAGCTTTTATGCTGTCGTATGACATTACGAATTGAAGAAAAAATTCCACGTAAGCAAGAACAACTAGTGTATGTGCAATGGAGAGTAGAGTGTAGGCAAGGTTGCGGCACCTTATCAAGGACTGGCAAATTTATCTCTGATTCGTCCAAGACATCCCGCAGAGAAACTAACAAGGTCACGCGCGCACCAGGACCCTGGTGGTTCCGTGACGCGTGAAGTAAAAACATAATTTATTGAGAAAAAGGTTTTGGAGAACCCCCCAAACTATTGCTGTTGCTGGCCTAATGCATCTTCGCCAAAAAGATGAAAGCTTGTGACAGCACAAACAAGCCCGTGCAGTGTGTTGTGGGAACAAGCAGCGATGCCGTACATTCCAGCATTTTTGATATGTTCGCGACAGTCCCAAACGCTCATGAGTTTTGTTCCAGACACATCCAACATCCTGCTGAAGTATGTTGTGCAGAGAGGCAAAAACCCTGTAAATACCTGTGTTTAACGCATGTTCAAGCAAGATATGAACGCTTGTGACAGAGCGCCTTATTCCAGAGACTTCAAATATACTATTGCATTATGTTGCGCAAGAGGCAAGAAAACTGTAAGTACCTTGGAATTAGGTATGGTCACAAAATGCATGAACGCTTGCGACAGCACGCCTTTTGCCCGAAGCGCTAAACACACTGTTGCATTATGCTGCGCTTAGAGGCCTCGCACGTTCTTATGCAGTGCACGAAGTGGCTGTCCCTCCTTTTTCACTGGTCGGATAAAGGGCCAACCTCGCTGGCCAAGAAGGTCCAACGAGGCACGAGTCGCTTCGTCAGAACACCGCAACTCACGTAGAGAAGACGGTAGAACAAGCACTGCCAGTATGGACAACGGTAAGAAGGCAGTGTGGGTAGCCCGGGGGCCTAATCACCTAATCCGCTAAGCAGTCACGTAGCCGTCGAAGAGGGCAGAGCCAGTCGTCGCCACGAGGTAGTAGAACTCGAAAGGTCACGGAGCCACCGAAAGAGGAGCTCCGAGCGAAGTTTTTCTGTTTTGAGAGTCCAGGTCTCCAAGCCAAAGCCACCAAAGTTGCCGACAACGTAGAGCAGGTCTTCCACGAAGTAGACGAAGAAGTGCCACCACGGAGTGGAAGCACCCAGCCATCATTGCGCTCCCGGGCGGGTGCCCAAGGTCTTCAGGTAGTCATGGTACGCCTTGCCGATCCTAGTCCTAGCCGTAGACCGCAAAGCCTGAGATTCCCAAAGTTGTGCATTGCGAGCTCCCTGGGCATGGGCATGCCTTCTGGAGCCACTCCACCGCTGCCCCATGGACGCTGCAGCCGCCTTGTCCGCCGCCTCGTTGAGGGCCCTGAGCCGAGCGGCCGAAAGCCCAAGCGGCGGAGTCCACCCAAGCTTTTTGTCATGCGACGGCGTCCAGATGAACATGACCTCGAGCTGGTCGTCGCGAAGCTTCTTGAGGTAACCACGAATAGTGTCGAGCAAGAGCGCGTAGTCGAAGCCGTTGTTGCTCTGGATCGCCCGAATCGCAGCCTGGCAGTCCACGACGAGGAAGAGCCGACGCCATTGCACCAAAGAGCCGGGAGAAGAAGCCTGGATCACAGCGATCACGGCCTCCGAGTGCCAAAGCGATGGCCTGCACCTCCATCCTGTAAGGGGTTTGGTCCTGCAGTCCATCGCCACAGGCAGCAACCGTGTCAGGATGCTGGATGGCGACGCCCGACGAGGAGCCCACGCCGTCCTTGCTCGAGCCGTCCGTGGCCAAGTAGAGGTCGCGGTCCGCAGCGTAAGTGCCGAGGAGGTCGACGAGGTGCTCCTTGAAGTCATCGATGTCTACCGCCTGCGGGGCTGCCGGATAGCAGCCCACCTCCATGGCAAAAAGGCGCTCCTGCGCAGTGTTCTCCGGGAGCTGAACGTCAGCCCGCAGGCCACGAAAATGTGGGCAAGCCCAAACCAGGTGAGGTCGGCTTGGGCGAGCAGCACCGCATGCACAGATGTGCCGTTGATGCCCATCTTCGAAGCGGCCCCCAGCGTTGAAGTGCCAGTTGGAGGTCCCCGCACCGATGGAGGCCAAAATCAGATTTCGGTCGTTACCTGCATTGTGAAAGCACTCACGGTGGCCTGCGAAGTCGTAGATGGCCGCACGCGAAGGTCTGGGCAGACGAAGGCCCACAGGGGGCCCACACTCGCGCAGTCTTCCCAACGTAGACCTGACGATAGTGGCGCTGAAGCCATTGCAGCAGGACCTGAAAGGATTCGTGACCTACCCACAAGTGCCTGGTGTGGCCTTCAGCATCGCAGCACTGAAGAACACGAGCATCGGCCGAGAGCCACTACTTCAGTCGCTGCAGGGTCGGGGCCAACCTTGAGCACACAGCCCTGGAGTTCTGAAAGGGGCAGAGCCTCAGTCCAGTCCATCGGTCGCACCACGGATCGCCAGTAGGCGGCATCAAGGAACCAACCAACGACCTCACACAACAACACTCTGGCAGCCCCTGCGGTCGCAAAGCGGGTCATCATGTGGTTGATTTCATGCTGAATGGCAGCGATGTCCCAGGTTTTCGGGGCAGCGTAGGCAGCGGCCCAGGTGAAGCACGGCACGATCAAGGAGCGCAGTAGGAGCCCTACGAGCTAGATCCAATGGGTGTAAATTTACACTTTACACCCCCCTAAGAATTTACACGCTTTTGGGGGTTAAATTTGGTGGCTAAATTTTGCCCCCCCAAATTCGAGATTTGGGGGGCTAAATTTAGACTCCAGGGGCAAATTTAGCCTCCCAACCACACCCAAAAGTGTATACACTTTTGGGTTGGCCCACCCAAAAGTGTATACACTTTTGGTCTGCCCTATTCCCTGCCCCACACACCCCATCCCACCACCCCACACAATCCCTACCCCCTCTCCTCTCTCTACCCTCTCCCATTCCTGTTCCATCCTCTCCCTTCCCCTTCCCTTTGTGAAAAGGGCCATCCGGCCGATCTGTGATCCCGCAGAAACACCTTTGTGTGTGACACAAAATGGGCCATCCAGCCCTGAAATGTATACAATGTGATGTGTATATGTACATATATCCGGGGCCCTCCAGCCCTTTCATCTGCGAAACCTCACACACAAAACACATGCACACACACACACACACACACACAAAGTCTTTTTTTCCAACGGCTCTGGGATCTGTCTTCGCTTTCTCTGTGCCATTCCAGATGCATATCCACAATGGGAAATCCAGCCCTGAAATATATATATATATATACACACACTTGAATTATATGTACAATTTTGAATTACAGGTGGCTCTTGTGTGGTCACCGGCACAATTAAAAGTGTGCATCCTGTATAGATCCGGGGCCCTCCAGCCCCCCTTGAACACCAGCAGCAAGAGACACACTCTGGGTTCATGGCGAGCACCATGAGGATCGATCTCTTGTCGCTTCTGAGCTGCACCAAATGGGGACCGGCGACATAAAGGGTTCCTGGCGCATGAGCACCAGGAACCTTATGTCGCCGGTCGACGTTGATGCAGACAGAAGCGATGTGCCCTTCGCAACAGCAGGAGCGACTCGACTCCTGCTGTTGCGGAGGGCACATCGCTTCTGAGCTAATGGCACCATGAACCTGACGTCGCTGGTCGATGTTGTCTTCTTCCCGACATCGACGAACCCTCGAGCAAGCTCTGGCCCACCCAAAGCTTGCTCCAGGGTTCGTCGTGCTCGGAGCTGCAGGTCATCTGCACATGTGGGCAGGGGAAAGGGACAGAGAAGCTGGTCTCCAAGCTTCTGCCGCTTTCGCCCTGCACCATGTGCAGATGACCTGCGTCCGTTCCTGCTCCTGCTGTGCGATTCCTGTTCCTATTCCTGCTCCTCGGGCTGGGCCTTCTCACACCTTGATCCATTCCGAATGCATAGCCAAGCGGTTCTTCATGTTCAGCTTGAAAGATGCTTCTTCGCGGCTCACTCCTTTCACACCAGAAGCCATCATCTTGCCCAGCTTCC